ATTTATCTCTATTCAAGGGAAGATGATTGTTGATAGACCAATTATACACACGATTTATATTTAATTGCAGAAAGAGGCAGTCATCTAGTGATTTAATCTCATACATACAAATATCTGGGTTTCTGTCAATCCTCCCACATCAATCATACCAAAACGCAAACACAGTTGAAAGATCAATACCTAGCGAGATTAAAATTAATATTGAAGACACAGTTAAATGGAAAAAATTTAATGAAAGCAGTAAATACATTCTGCGTTTCACTGCTAACATATTCTTTTGGAGTCATTAAATGGTCCAAAACTGATCTTGAAAATTTAAACATCGCACCAAGGAGAATCTTCACACAGTGTAGAAGGCATCATCCAAAATCGTCCATTGAAAGATTCTCATTACCAAGACAGAATGGAGGAAGGGGTTTCCAGAACCTAGAAAACTTATATCAGAGACAAATCTCAGATCTGAAGAAGTATTTCTTGAAACGAGCAGAAAGAAATGAAATGTTTCGCACCATCACAAGGGCAGATTTGAACCACACACCCTTAAATCTGTCGAACACCGAAGAAATCCACACCCCCAACACAATAGACAAAATAATAAGTGGGCTAAAACAAAAACAACTACATCCGAATATAAGAAACGACTGCTGTCGCCTCTGCAAAGCAAAACCTGAAACGATCCAGCACATAATCTCCTCCTGCAGCATTCTGGCACAAACTGACTACAAAGCTAGACACGACAACGCAGCCAAAATCATTCACAAAGAATTAGCAACACTTATGAACTTAATCGAAGATACGACACCATATTACACTTACGTTCCATCTCCGTTCCTTGAAAATAACAAATACAAATTATACTGGGATCGCACAATACTTACAGACTTAAACATTACAGCTAACAGACCAGACATCATACTTATCAAAAAACACACGAATGAAGCCATTCTCATTGACATTGCTATTCCTAACACAAACAACATTATTCAAACATACCACACCAAGATTTCAAAATATCTACAATTATCGATAGAAATGAAATCCATGTTGAAACTTAAAAAAAATTCAATTCTACCCCTAGTTATCTCTAATGTAGGTGTAGTTCCAAATAGCTTAGTTGAGAATTTAAAGTCTTTGCATTTGAATAATTCAATAATTATCAAAATTCAGAAAGCTGTTTTGTTAGGAACATGTCATATTGTTCGTAAGTTTCTCGAACAGTCTGATCATGTCAGTCAGATTAGATTAGCACCAGTAGGTCAGAGTAGTGTAGGTCACTTTCCAAGTGATGCGCGGATAAATGATCGGTAGTTACGCTAGACTTTTGGGGATGGGGTGAGATTAGAGAATAATACCAGACTAATTTGTATGCTGTAATTCTAGAATCTCGAAAGCTGTTTTGTTAATCTAATCAATGCATATCATTACTTGGTCTTAGTACCCGTAATGATAGAAGTCTTGCCTGAATGCCGGTCATTTCCGGGTCAGTGGTGGGTCTTAATAACAATAATAATAATATGTATTTAATGCCGAAAAAGATACAAGAGACGACATATCGAAAATAAGAACTAAACGTGTGCAAAAGTAATTACAAATCTATAGGTCCATGAAACGTAAAATTGGTACGATGAAATCTAGGTACAAAAGTTTCAGCGCAACGAGAACCTAATCTAGATACTCTAATATCAAATAGCATAACTAGGCCAGAGCAGTCAATGCATTCTGGAACAACTTATAACCCAAACGAGTTTCAGCTTTTTGTTTTCTATTCTCCAGTAGTTCCAAGTACAAGCCTTTGGTAGTAGCTATAGTTATCCTTATTTATTCCCATTTTAAAAAGTAGATAATTGACAAACTTACGTTGTACTCTTTCAAGACAATCAACATTTTTTTTTTAGTTAAGTTTACGCAAGGTTTGTTCCACGGTAACGATACTATTTAGTGTTTTCTAGGGGATATAAGTTAAACCATCTCCATATTTTCATATCATTATGAAGAGGAACTCCATCGTGGCAATACCACAAATCTCTAGGTATATCCACGGGCGCCTGTCCAAAAAGTGCTCCCAGAGTGTTGTTTAAAAAAGTCCAAATACGCAACCGCTTCGCACTCGTGACAAAAATATTCGACATAACTTTATTACTATAATTAGAAGTCAAAGTAATCATTTTTCCGTTCATGGTTTTTTAAAGGAACAGAAATTCAATATTTTGAAATGTCGACTTTCTGAATAATACAAAATATCTTTTTATAAACATTTTCTAATTCAATAAAATAACTCGGCAATGTATTCTCCGACTCTCGGAAGTATTTTTACTTCCCGCACGTAAGCTAAGAAAGTATACCAATTGAGACCATCGGACGAATGGCCACTTTTATATTTTTTATCGTGCATTGATAATGGCCTGTTACTAGTATTATCTATGTTAATCACGTTATCACAGAATTGTTTATTCATCAAATTAAGAATGAGTCCCCCTATTTTCTTGAAACTAGAGAATGCGCCCGGCGATACTTAATAATGATAAGATAATAATTGAAATTTGCGTTCCCATGGCGCAGGGATAGGGGGGTGCTATTAACACCGGTTCGTCCGTTCACCGAAAAGAATCGAGGAATGTTAATTAGAGCACAACTTCTTGTAAGCCTACACCCTACACCTAATTGCAATTGATTTATACAACTGGTTGTCAAGATATTTAACCGTTTCCATATATTCTAGAGACCCTGTATAAAGATTTAGAAAACAAACATTTTTTTCAAAGAAGCGGAATTCGTTGGACTTTCTATTGTTTTTCTTGCCATATTTAAAAACTGTAGATGAGTCTTCGTAAACTTGTCTTGATTTAGAATGTAATAAATTTTCCCACGCCCCTCTTGCTATTGCTGGAACTTCCGGCGGAGAGGACGGCAGTTCAACCGCTTCATCAGCCATAATTTACGACATACTTATAACTTGTGAGTTCAATGTTCAAAGCATTTGAGAAACACTCAGTCAGTCTGTGGTTAAAGCAAAAAATGTCTTTAACTGAATAATTCTGGTTTTTCTGCTTTAAAAATTATAACCGTTTGAAAATATGTATGTAAATCTTAATTTATGTGACGTTTGAAAATGAAATGTATTTTTACGAAGTAGAAGTGATTTTATGTGACTCATAAATATAGTCCACGAAGTCAAACATTAGCACTTTAACTCCAATAATGTGCAACTTAGCAACACCTGTCGAGAAAAGGGGACGTTTTCACAGGGTAAATTACCTGTAGTGCGCTTCCGATTGTTAAATCCAGGGACGGCTTACAAAATATTTAATCCTTATTGCATTGGTGACTCAACACAGTAATAAAATCTTTTTTGAGATATGTTTATGATTGTGTAATTACAGTTAATAAAAACAGTGTTTTATATACATTAATATTAAAAAATATATTTGCATATAAAAATTAAATAAATTACCAAAATACTATTAATGTTAATACATTAATACGCCGACATATTTCGGAGGAATGTTTAATCCTTTGATAATTTTCAGTAGATCATTTTTGTTACTTTTGTTCTGGAGTATCGATATTGTTGTCTTTCATGTATTTAAAGTCGTGAAAATATCCCTGTTCAAAACACTTAGAATGTGACTTTTTTTAGTAACTTCGTGTGGTAACATATCAATGGAAATTGCAAAAGTTCAAAATTAATTGAATAATTATAAGTTATCATCTGAAACGGAATTAACATTGATAATGACTTGATTTGTTTCACAATTGTCCAGAATCTTTTCCGTTTGCCATGTCGAATCTATGATTTTTTCCTAATATATATTGGGAATTGATTTATTACATTTTCCCAAGTTTTCAGTAGATCAACAGAAGCATTAGTTTTTGGAATACTTTTATCATACTTTCGTTTACATTCTGACCATACCATTTCAATTGCATTCAAATGACAGTGGTATGGCGGAAGTCTTAGGACACAGTTCCATGTTCTTGAACATAGTGATCTAAATGATGATTGTTGGTGTTTTAGCTGCTTATCTGGAATGTCGTATTTTATGCAATAATACTAATTAATACTCGGCTGCAGCTTTTCTAATATTTTTCCTCGCGATAACGGGAATTGCAAAATTTTTTAAGTTTTGCACTTATACGCTGGTTTAAACGCAAGTCATGAAAATTAGAACATGGATTCAGTGTGGAACCAACAATCCATTAAGCGTTTAAAAGTTTAGGCTTTAAATCTTATCAATATTTTAAAGATGAAAATTGTACATATAATATATGAAGTGTTGGATGTTTTAATTCAACTGTAGCAATAAAAAAAATTAGAGAACCTTTTGCTTTATCTCATGAATTGCAAAACTTATTTTGGCACAAATAAACAAGTTTTTTTTTATTATTTTAAGATTACAGAACCTTATATTATTTTTACTCCCTATTGTGGTCTTTCCTACCTTAATTTTTCACAAAAACGAACAGCGAAAAATAGACTATGCTACCATGCTACCGACAATTGCGTTGCAAGTTTTATTTTTAAACAGATTCTGTAAATATCAATAATTTATGTGTGTTACCCGTTGCATCTAATTTTACACTTTTTTTTCTCACCAGTGGCAATTTTTAATGTTGGATAACAATTGCATTTGAAACCTATTTTTACAGAACTACGTTAATTAATAGGACTGTTTATCCATGGGAATATCTAAAAGACAGGTATTAGAGATATTTTTAAATATTTACATAAATTTTGTAGTACAATTTTGGTCACAAAATAATTTGGTTGTATGTATAACACTGCTGCATACGTTTTAAGGTGGAAAAAATTCTACTTTGAAAATTCCATATAATATTATAGGGGTTTGCTCCATTATCTGTCTAACATTTCGACTAGTTTCTGAAATTTTCTTCTTATTTTTCGACCTACCAATTCCCTCTTGGCGGCTTGAATTGAGTACTCCTACACAACGTTTATCTTTTGCCAGCGTTTCCATGACTGATACAATTTTTTTTTCCAGAATATATGCAAACTGACCAATTTGGAAGAGTTCATCGAATACAATTTTCACTTTGAACGACAATGTGATGAATAACGAAACAATACGTACTAATTTCTTTAATTTTAAATATTTAGAAGATGAACAAAATCCACATGACATAAAATTGTTATTTATTTTATCTTTTTTTTTATATTTTATTTTTTTAATTATTTTATTAAAAAGTGTTCGATGTTAACTACAGCGCCACCTAGTTGTAGAAGTACCTGTATTTAAAAATTTTGGACACTTTTCTAGAATAATTTAGACAAAAATAAAGAAAGCACTAAAACATTGTAGTCGTAAATTCTGTAGGCTTTATAAGTTTAGTCCACTCGACTATAAAGAACTCATACCTTGTACTTAAGAATTTGTCCGTCCAGTAACAAGTGTAAAATGTGTAGATTTTAGAATTTTATTGTAAGATATTCTCTCTTTTATCTTTTTTAATTTCAGAAACAAACATAAGCGAATACTTTTATTGTTTTTATTATTTAGTTATGAGGAATATGAACAAATAGTTGTTAGAGTATAGCATAATCATGTGTTACTGCAATATTATGTTTGTGATTGTGTAAAATAAATTGTTTTTGATTCTTATTTTAAAAAATACTCCCCTCATTTGTTTAACATTTTAATGAATTTTGTAACTGTAATACATGCGAATGTATATATGCTTTTACATTTTGTGTAAGGCGCACTAGTGAACCACAAATATACAACAACTCACGCAATTATAAAAATCAAATGCCAACAGAGAAAAAAACACAAACAGAAACCTACGCAGTGAAAAAATATTTTTTTGGAAATTTTTTCATTAAAATTTGCAGTTTTTGTGTTTTTCAAGTACATGAAAATAAAAACTGACTACTTATTGTCCAACACCAACTGCCTCAGCTTCTCGTAGTTGGCGCCGCTGAACTGCGTAATCGTCTGATTATTTTTGACGAAAACGAATGTAGGCATTGACGAAATATTGTACTCCATTGCGACCTCCTCACACTCGTCGACGTCGACCTGGAAGCAGACGACACGTCAAACTCGACCCCTGGCACAGCCAACGACTCACCTTGAAAATTAGGACGTTCTGGAATTCCTGGGCAAGTTCTTCCAATTTCGGGGAAATCATCTTGCAAGGTCCACACCAGGTGGCGAAGAAATCGATGACCACCAACTGATCCCCGGCATCGTTCAGTTTCGATACGAGGTCGGCCTGGAAAAAATCGACGATCGTGTAATGGTTATTTTTACGCTTGGCGTGTCGTAAAAATGTTTTATTTGTAATGTAATTATGAGAGAGAAAGCAGGTAGGTCTAGGCAAAGACGGCAGTCGGAAGTGTAACCGCTCTCGCGTGTGACCCTCAGCTTTTTAATTTCAGGCGAAGTTATAACATATCCGTCTTACGAAAGATCAGCTGGACTGATACGCAGTTTTCACGAATCGGTTCATTTCGACGCTGTTTGCCCCTTTTTGGCACAGCATAAGACATTTGTCTTCAAAAAAGACATTCTCACCCCTCTTTTTTTTAAATTAAGTTTCTAAATTGAACAAAAACTGTACGCTAAGTAGGATTCTATTTAAAAGGCCAAAGTCGTATTTCTTTCCGCATGAAGTGGAAAGTGCTGCATCAATATTTTGTAATACAAGGCTTTCATAAATGTTTTATGCATCCAGTGACCTCTGAAATTTAAAAAAGTTGCAGTTTTGCCACTTTTTTTGATGATGGTCACTTTTAGTTTTAATATCAACAAACAGTTTTTTTTAAACGCGTGACATTAATTCATAGAGTAATTTGTGTAGTCCAACTTATTCGAATTGTTTTTAGCCATAACAATGGTCTATTCTTTGTGACAAGACAAATATTGTGATACATTACCGTAATGGAATATTCTAGAATGGTGAATGGATCTAGTCAAACAAACCAGCAAGTTTCCCAGAAATTACAATTTAGAAAGCTTCTTTATTAAATCACTTTTGGGATCTAATTAATGTAATTAATAGAAAACAGGTGTCGAAAAGTTAAGTATTGTAACTGGATTAAAAATCATTTTTAATAATGAAACTTGGTTCTATTTACTTTACTTTGTTTAGTTGCTTCCAACAGGATGGAACGACAACTCACATAAAAGGTTTAACTTTGACTTATTTGCAACAGATCGAGTTACAAGCTTGGAGCTTAATCAAGAATTTCCACCACGTCCCCTGATCTTACGTCATTAGATTTTTCACTACTCGACTATTTAATGATCAAGTATGCATATAAACAGAAATTGAATAATTTAGAAGAACTGTAGATCAAACTTAAACTGTGGTTTTAAAGCATTCAATACCATTAATGGTGAAATGTTGACATTTTCGAAAATATGATAACTGAGTGTTTGTAAAAAGAAAAAATAAAATGTAGCAATTTTCAAATATCGATATCTCAGTTTTCCAAATAGAACATGTTATTTTTAAGGACTGTGTTGCAATATTGATGGAGAGATAAAGAGAGATCTGTATCTTTGTTATGTGAACCAAATTTTAAAATATCGATATTTCAGTTTTTTCAAATAGATATTTTATTGCTGGCACGTTTCTTGAAAAAGTAAAAAATCGCAATTTCTATTAACCTTAAATGTAAAAATTACTTAACAAGAAGAAATAGAATAGAACAATGTGTAATTTTTCTATGCCAGAAAATCAATTTTTATTTGGTTAATTTTTTTTTAATTTTCCGATTTTTGAACTTTCGGATTTTTGTGTTTTACGATTTTGTCGTTTTTAGTTTTTCATTTTTTTTTTTAACTTTATTGAGGATATGTATTAATTTCGACAATGACAACAAAGCACATTGATGTCATTCGAATGGCTTTCATCCATTTTGGAATTTTTAAAAAAAATTGTTGGTTTTGCAATTTCTCAGTTTTTCGATTTTTGTTTTGCAATTTTTTAATTATACAATGTTTCGATTTGTAAGTTTTTCAAAATTTTTATTTATTAACGTTTTGATTTTTTCCAATTTTTTAATTTACAATTTTTCGATTTTACAGTTAGCTCGAATTGCCAATTTCTAGATCGTTTATTCGGTTTTTAGATTTTCCAGTTTCTTGATTTTTAAGATTTGATTTTCAAATTTTCCATTTGTACATTTTTGTTTCTTCAATTTTTCGACTTTACAGTTTTCCGATTTTAGGTTTTCTAGTTTTCAATCTTTAAATTTACAATTTTTCGAATTTTTTTTATTTTGATTTTGTCATTTTTCGGTCTTCCAGATTTTTTATTTGCAATTTTCACAATTTTACAGTTTTTGGATTTTCCAATTTTTATATTTAAATTGTTTTTGACTAATTAATTTTTAATTGCTTTCACCGCGTTTATTTATATTGTGTTGACTGAACATTTTATTAAAAGCACTCATTTTTGAATTTTTAAAAATACTTACTTTTCCATTTTTGCAGTTTCTCGATTTGCCATTTTTCGAATTTGTTTTAAATATTTCAAAGTTGCTATTTATCAACACTTGAATTTTTCAATTTTTCGATTTTATAGCTAAAGTCGCGATCTTTTCTATAGAACCACTCCCTAGTGTAAATTTTCAAAATTTGTTTGGTGTAAGTGACCTTGACGGGTTTCTGGGGGAAAACATATGTGTCAAAAATTTGACAGGTTAGATGGCCCCATTGTTAATGTAGATATTTTATTTTAATAAATAGATGAACAGAACATACAGTCTGCACGGGATACAGTGCGGCATAGCTGAGGGCAACCGAAACATTCGTGTTGTGCTAGTTTCGATTGCCATTTCAACTACCGCTACCAACCGCGTTTGGCGTAAAGTACTAGATGACAGGGCTACCAACTTGACTTTTTATCGAGTGGTTCCGTAGAAATGACCGCTACTGTACTTAGATTTTCAACTTTTTTGAGTTAGAATTATTCAATTTTACAGTTTTTCGGTTTTTGAACTTTTGAATTTTACTGTTTTACGATTTTGTCGTTTTTAGTTTTTCAATTTTTATATTTAATTTTTTTTAACTTTATTGAGGATATGTATTAATTTCGACAATGACAACAAAGCACATTGGTGTCATTCGAATGGCTCTCACCCATTTTGGAATTTTTTAAAAATTATACAGTTTTTTGGTTGTACAATTTCTGTTTTTCGATTTTTTTTTTAAATTTTTTAATTGTACAATGTTTCGATTTACAAGTTTTAGAGTTTTCAATTTTAAGTTTTTCAAAATTTTGATTTATCAACGTTTTCATTTTTTTCAATTTTTTAATTTATAATCTTTCGATTTTACAGCTAGCTCGATTTGCCAATTTGTAGTTCGTGTATTCAGTTTTTGGATTTTCCAGTTTCTTGATTTTTAATATTTCGATTTTCAAATTTTCCATTTGTGAAATTTTGTTTCTTCAATCTTTCGACTTTACAGTTTTCCAATTTTAGGCTTTCTAGTTTTCTATATTTAATTTTTCAATTTTTCGATTTTTTTATGTTTTGATTTTGTAATTTTTCGATCTCCCAGATTTTTTATTTGAAATTTTTCGATATTTCAGTTTTGCACGAATTTTCACAATTTTACAGTTTTTGGATTTTTCAATTTTTATATTTAAATTTTTTTGACTAATTAATTTTTAATTGCTTTCACCGCGTTTTATATTGTGTTTACTGAGCATTTTATAAAAAGCACTCATTTTTAAATTTTTAAAAATACTTTAGTTTTCCGATTTGTCAATTTCTCGATTTTCCGATTTTTGTTAGATTTTACATTTTTCGATTTGAATTTTTTCGATTTTATAGCTACTTAAATTTTTAACGTTTTCGATTTAGAATTATTCAATTTTACAGTTTTTCTATTTTTGAACTTTTGAATTTTTGTTTTACGATTTTGGCGTTTTTAGTTTTTCAATTTTTTTATTTAATTCTTTTTAACTTTATTGAAGACATGTATTAATTTCGAGAATGACAACAAAGCACATTGGTGTCATTTAAACTGCTTTCGCCACATTTATTTCCACCTGTTGACTGCGGATCTTTTAATAGCACCCATTTTCAATTTTTTTTTTATTTATACAGTTTTTGGATTTGACAATTACTCAGTTTTTCGATTTTTTGCAATTTTTTAATTATACAATGTTTCGATTTGCAAATTTTTAGTTTTCAATTTTAAGTTTTTCAAAATTTTGATTTATCAACGTTTTGATTTTTTCCAACTTTTTAATTTGCAATTTTTCGATTTTACAGTTAGGTCGAATTGCCAATTTCTAGATCGTTTATTCGGTTTTTAGATTTTCCAGTTTCTTGATTTTTAATATTTGATTTTCAAATTTTCCATTTGTACATTTTTGTTTCTTCAATTTTTCGACTTTACAGTTTTCCGATTTTAGGTTTTCTAGTTTTCAATCTTTAAATTTACAATTTTTCGAATTTTTTTATTTTGATTTTGTCATTTTTCGGTCTTCCAGATTTTTTATTTGCAATTTTCACAATTTTACAGTTTTTGGATTTTCCAATTTTTATATTTAAATTGTTTTTGACTAATTAATTTTTAATTGCTTTCACCGCGTTTATTTATATTGTGTTGACTGAACATTTTATTAAAAGCACTCATTTTTGAATTTTTAAAAATACTTACTTATCCATTTTTGCAGTTTCTCGATTTGCCATTTTTCGAATTTGTTTTAAATTTTTCAAAGTTGCTATTTATCAACACTTGAATTTTTCAATTTTTCGATTTTATAGCTACTTAGATTTTCAACTTTTTCGATTTAGAATTATTCAATTTTACAGTTTTTCGGTTTTTGAACTTTTGAATTTTTCTGTTTTACGATTTTGTCGTTTTTAGTTTTTCAATTTTTATATTTAATTTTTTTTAACTTTATTGAGGATATGTATTAATTTCGACAATGACAACAAAGCACATTGGTGTCATTCGAATGGCTCTCACCCATTTTGGAATTTTTTAAAAATTATACAGTTTTTTGGTTGTACAATTTCTGTTTTTCGATTTTTTTTTTAAATTTTTTAATTGTACAATGTTTCGATTTACAAGTTTTAGAGTTTTCAATTTTAAGTTTTTCAAAATTTTGATTTATCAACGTTTTGATTTTTTTCAATTTTTTAATTTACAATCTTTCGATTTTACAGCTAGCTCGATTTGCCAATTTGTAGTTCGTGTATTCAGTTTTTGGATTTTCCAGTTTCTTGATTTTTAATATTTCGATTTTCAAATTTTCCATTTGTGAATTTTTGTTTCTGCAATCTTTCGACTTTACAGTTTTCCAATTTTAGGCTTTCTAGTTTTCAATATTTAATTTTTCAATTTTTCGATTTTTTTATGTTTTGATTTTGTAATTTTTCGATCTCCCAGATTTTTTATTTGAAATTTTTCGATATTTCCGTTTTGCACGAATTTTCACAATTTTACAGTTTTTGGATTTTTCAATTTCTATATTTAAATTTTTTTTGACTAATTAATTTTTAATTGCTTTCACTGCGTTTATTTATATTATGTTTACTGAGCATTTTATAAAAAGCACTCATTTTTGAACTTTTAAAAGTTTTTAGTTTTCCGATTTTGCAATTTCTCGATTTTGCGATTTTTGTTAGATTTTACAGTTTTTCGATTTTATAGCTACTTAAATTTTTAACATCGTTGATTTAGAATTATTCAATTTTACAGTTTTTCCATTTTTGAACTTTAGAATTTTTCCGTTTTACGATTTTGGCGTTTTTAGTTTTTCAATTTTTTTATTTAATTCTTTTTAACTTTATTGAAGATATATATTAATTTCGAGAATGACAACAAAGCACATTGGTGTCATTCAAATTGCTCTCGCCACATTTATTTCCACCTGTTGACTGCGGATCTTTTAATAGCACCCATTTTCGACTTTTTTTTTTAATTATACAATTTTTGGATTTTACAATTACTCAGTATTTCGATTTTTTGCAATTTTTTACTTTTACAATGTTTCGATTCAGGAGTTTTTAGAGTTTTCAATTTTAATTTTTTTTAAATTTTGATTCAACATTTGATTTTTTCAATTTTTGGATTTTACAGTTAGCTCGATTCGCCAATTTCTAGATCGTTTATTCTGTTTTTGGATTTTCCAGTTTCTTGGTTTTTAGTACATATTTCGATTTTCAAATTTTCCATTTGTGAATTTTTTTTTCTTCAATTTTTCGACTTTCCAGTTTTCCGATTTTAGGTTTTCTAGTTTTCAATATTTAATTTTTCAATTTTACAAATTTTCCAATTTTTTGTTTTGATTTTGTAATTCTTCGGTCCCCCAGATCTTTTATTTGCAATTTTTCGATATTTCAGTTTTGCCCTTCCCCAATTTTTCAATTTGTAGATATTTTAATTTTTCCTTATTTCAATTATTAAAACTGAAATTTTCACAATTCTAGCGTTTGCAATTTTTCGAATTTACAATTTTTGGCTCTTAAGTTTGCTAGTTTTCAAGTTTTCGAATTTTTAGATTTTCAATCTTGCAAATTTTCGTTCCTTCAGTTTTTCGATCTGCAATTTTTCGTTTCTTGGATTTTGCGATTTTTTTAAGTTTCCGGTTTTTCAATTCTTCATTCCTCCGAATTTTCAGTCCGTAGATATTTTAATTTTCCTTTATTTGAATTAAACGACAATTCAAATTTTTATGTCTGCAATTTTTTGATTTACAGTTTTCCAATTTTTAGTCTTTTCAAATAGTAACAATAATTAGTAACAGACAGACAAACGAAAACAGGAAACCTCTTATGCGCGGGAAATTAAAATGGTCCAAAGTTATTTACATAGACCTTCTCTCATCACACAATCGAGCAAAATCAGTTTTTCCCAAAAATGATAAAATTTGATTCTGCAAAATTTTATTCATTTTATAGACCTTATAAGTAAAAAAAAATGTAGGTAATAAAAAAAAACACTCGGTAAAGATGGAATTCGAACCAACACCTGGCAGCGCACAAATCCGAGAATAAAATAAACTGTAAATATAATTGTGATAACATGAAGGCGGATTCATAAACCACGAGTACAAGAGTATATTATTTCATACAATTTAGAAAACATCGACTACGCGAAATAACGAGGGGACATCAACAATCAAATTATGTTTGATTTCATTTTCACTGACACTTTCTTTACATTTTTAAACGTCAAATTGATAAATAATAATCCATATTTTTTATTGCATTCTTGAACCCGGATAAACTATAATTTCCAACACTCGTGAAAAATGGTAGTGCGACAGGAAACCCACACAAACCCTAATCACGATTAATGTGTTGAAACAAACCATACCACATGAATGATAATTACGATGATTAAATATTGAAACAAATGTGATGAAGTCATGCAACTTTACCTACCAAAGAAAACCAACACGAACTACATTTGAATGAATAATTCACAAAACAGACAGCAGCAAAACGAAACAGGAATCCTGGTCAGCTTTATTTTAAAAATTTAGAGGGTTACTCCCCCCTTGTCATGCCATGTTTACCCAGTTTGAGTTCAAAAGTTTAACCCAAAAATACGCAACTTTCTTCCAAATGCACGACAGGTAGAGTGGAAATATTACGAGAAGAACATCAAAATGAGTCGCTTGGGCCTTGACCAATGGCGTACCACTTACGTTGGAAATGGGGAATTTTAAAAAATATTTTCACAGAAATACGAATTTGTCGTGTTTTATGTAATTTACTCTAAGTACGCTAATTGTGTATATTTATTATACAATGTAAAATTTACAATTGTAGACTGTTCTATATTTTGATTCCATTAAATTTAACTATAGCCCCGAAATAACCAATAATCAATTCAAACGTGTGGTTGTGCAAAAAATGTTGTGCACATCCGGGCTAAAAGTGTTTTATTGACTTGAATGGTAAAGTTCTCGCTAACATTTGAACTTTAAATTCGTGCTCACTGAATGTGTCATTTATTTCACTGACTAATGCTACGCTCGATCAATGTTTGGGTTAATTATATCAAATGGATAAAGCGAAATAGAATAATAAAACTGATAAATTAACATACTGGAAATTAATATTGTTAGACAGTTAATTTTTAATGGGCACTTTTTTAATAGAAATAAACTTCATCAAATATGAAAAGTGACCGTCTCATGTCATTGATTAGAACTGTGGTCAATAAGAATGTCATTTTTAGGATTCACGTCACTACAAGTATCAATTGAGTATAACGAGTTAAGTATTTACGGGGAAATATTTAGTTCCCAGACCCAAGTACATAATGAACAAAAAACTACTAAATGATTACTATATCAACATTATTTTTGTCCCCTCGATTGAAATAGTTTTTTATGGAAATCTGCCTTTGTTTAGTAAGTGACATTTTATAGCTATTACTTGATAACAGGTAATCTGGGTGTTTACCTAGATTTAAGTTATGTAATAATAACTACAAATATTGAGGAACATCCAGTCGAACGCGTGACACTCTAGAATTTCCATGACTAGTACACCCGGTATCGTGTCGGATAATTAATTATAGAAAAGGACAGTATAATCTAGTAATCGCATTCTCGACAAAGATGAAACGTTTTTTTTTTGACAGTCCAGAGATCTATGCGGTATTCCACGCCGACCTTGAAACCGCGTACTAGTCCTACAACTGCGCTTTTAATATTGTTCTTATGAATTACTGTTAATTCCAACAACAATAATCCATCGTAATGAACTTTTCATAATAATGTAGTACTTAACAGCCGCCGACTCGATTAAAGGCTCGATAATATCCAACTAATTGCAGGTCACGATCACACAAATGTCAGACGGCTTTATCTGTCACATTATCTTCCAATTATAATTTTTCGCTCTTCAAAGGGGCTAAAACCGGGCAAATAACTAAATCCACTCAAAAGTGCTAATCATGCTTGATAACGCGGTGGAAATACCAGCAAAAAACGGACTTGCGGTATTTTCCGGGAAAACGGCCACGCCTACCGAAAACACAAAGGGCTTACCTTGTCGTTAATATGGGTAACCATTCCGAGTTTTTTGGGTTGTTTTTTGCGGAAAAAATCGCAACGAAAACAGAAGGGAATGTTGAGACACTGCACTCTCGCACTTGGAAAATGACGGAATGACGCTTCTGTTCGGTGGCGGCGTTTTTGTCGGTTCGGGTGAGTCGGAGCGAGATAGAGGCATTTGCGCATGCGAGGAGTGATAGACGTGACCGATGTTGGGTGTCTCCCTTGGCTACACGGTGAACGGTGAATGGGTAATAGACACAACGAAGGAAAGTGACAGCAAAAGTTCGAGTGACTCACGGGCACCTCACGGGTTAGCAAGAAATGACAAACAAAATAGTTCTTCTGGTCAGCTTTTCTAATTTGAGGAGTTTCGTCAAAAGTTAAATATTCTGTGAAAAATATTTTCCATAGTCATAGTTAGGAATGTGAAATGAGATGAAATTAAAAACGAATATGCTGTTTGCAAAAGAACTGAAGACTGAAGATCAGTTATTGCATTCAGATCCACTGACGCAATTTTTGACTAAAATGGTTGCTCCGGATGTTAATTAAACTGATTAATTAAACTTAATTTACACTGATGTAAGGAAAATTATTACAAACGATTATTTCTACGTTTATGACAAAACGGTCAAATGCGTTTTAGCCTTCTACATTTTAGCGAAATAGCAAGGTACTTGGAGAAAAATATTTTAATCTGTATTTGTATACATACCTACTTATTTATTACAATATTTTGATGTTCAGCCTCTTTTCGTCGGTAATATTTTCACTTTTTGGATTTTGTAATAGGGTCCAACCGACGAACTGCTAATTTCATGATGTCTCGACATTTTATAACTAGAGTGTGAAAAGTAGGTCCTCCGGTTTGTCTGTCTGTCGTCTATGGCGTCCTAGCGCTTTAAAAATAAGATTGCTCTATCAACCAGGTATAGTGGTCCAACTCTGACTTCGTTTTTATGGCATTGCATTCTCAATTACCGCAAGTATTATGAACTCTTTAAATGTAAATAGCCGTGCCATAAATCATCTTAAAGGTTTACGGGCGCATACTTAACTCCTTCACAATAGGATGCAGTCATAAAAACGAACCAGCATTTGCAGCAATATACTTACTTTCTTTTAACACATTGAGGCAAAAATTCTGCACCGTGATAATTTTTTGTCTCGTATCTTATAATGAAAGCTTTTTGTAAAATTTAAATAAAAAATTACATTATTGAAAAAAGATCAAATTAACATTTAAAAAACAATAATTTCACAACAAATGTTCGAAATGTTTTCCATTTACTTCCTGACATTAGTAAATACGTTGCACAAAATTTTCAGATGAATGTGTTATAATATTAGGAGGAATATCAGCAATCACGTTTATATTCTTTCTTGGAGTTCTTCGATGCTTTGTGGTCTGTTAACATAAATTCGATTTTTACATAACCCCACAGAAAAAAGTCGAGTGGGGTTTAATCGGGTGACCTAGCTGGCCACTCAACTGCGCCCCTTCGTCCTATCCATCTTCCAGGAAAAGTTTCATTCAAGTACTGTAACCTCATTTGAGATACACCTGTTAAAACTTTTATGACTTAAGCAGCTTAAGCCAAACCACCCTTATAAGTCATTATGCCAACCATGGACAGTAATAATCTTGCGGTTCGGGTCCACAAAGTTTACAGTCTGCCATTATTTCGCAAAATTCGATTCTGTGGTCAAAATCATCCTCACTCAATTCTTGTAGCAAATGAAATATTTTGTGTGGATGATATTTTTCCCGTTTGAGTATTTTTTGAACTGAGTCTCTACTCATATTGTGATTTAACGCCAATTGCTGCACTGAAGTTTTTGGATTTTCAATTTCATCTAACGTGACATTAAAAGAGTTCTCGTTATTTGTAACATTTTTTGGTCATCCTGTTCTTTGACAATTTCTAAAATTACTAGTTTTGTTAAATCTGCGCAATGTTTTTGAAGCTGTCGTCCTAGACACTCGTTCTCGATTGCTAAGACGCCTGTTGCCATAGTATACGATCATCAAGATTTCTGATAAATCGATGACAGTATTTTCAAAGCTAACTACAATTTTCTATTTTAGAATTTATTTATAATAAATAATTTGTCATATTATTTGCCGTGTTAGTTAAAAAAGTGTATGCAAGTGTTACAGTTAGTGCTATTTAAAAAAAATCAAGTTAACTTTGCATCTTAAAAACAAATGAAGTTTAAAGTTTAAAAAATTACAGAAAATATTGCCCAAATTTCAAGAAGATCAGACTAACTCTTCGAGAGATATTCAAGTGCTTTAATACTTTTTAGCATCCCTGTATATATACATATATTTTACAATTTCATGAAGTCATGTCAGAATTTTACTGACTGAAATTTTGATGAACCCATCTTTATTTTTTACTTTGGACTTCCAAATTTTTCTGTCATAATTTTGCAAACTAAATTTTACTCAAACTTTATAGAATAAAATCTAAAAAGCATAAATCTGCAGTTATGGTTTAGTAACACATATTTTTAGACTTGCATATATGTACAAAGTGATTTAAAAAAATTAATGAATGAAGCAAGAAAAGCTCACACCATTTTCTTGAAAATTTATTATTATTAGTATTACACTGTAGCTATCCAAATTGATATACAGGGTGAGTCACTAAGCACACGAAATAGTAAAAAAGTAAGCGCCTAAGTTGTAACTATACAGAATGTTCTATTTTTAAGGCATGACACACTACTTATTTTTACTTCCTGAGAGTAAGCTCAGCTATTGCTGTCAAATTTTGTATTTATATTAGCAATATCATGCATGGTAAAACGCTAACCAAAATTTGTCTAATCATCCCCACCAATAATGTGATGACATCACTTCAAAATTGCACATTTAGTAAATGGGTTTTAAATGACTCCATATTGAGTTTTTACCCGAAACGTCCAGATTTTTGGAAAAAAAAATCAAAATTATAAAACAACATTTGCAATTTAATTTTGAATCTGCAAAACCGAAAGCTTTGAAATCTTGTAGATGTTTTAAAGTTATGGATAAGCATGATACATTTTTAATCAAAATATATTTACTTATCCCTTCGAAAAAACTGATGACGTCTGTATTTGTAATTTATCATTCCATTTATATTTTTTCGATTTGCATATTACAGGATGACTTAACTGAATTTATTTTATTGATTTAATCAGGAACTACAATTTTGTTCAAAATGTATTTGCTCATCCCCCCTAAAAATTGATGACGTCACCTCAAAATTTTGCTGAATAAATCCTATCTTAAATGTACAAAGTATGATGAGTCAATACTTGTAATTTATCACTGCATTATATTAATACGGGGTGCCTCAAAAAAAGTAATGACTGTGGGTCAATTTATTTTATTGATTAAATCAAGACTTGCAAAACTGAACACTTTGAAATCGTGTAGACGTTTTGAAGTAAGTTATTGTAAGCATGGTAACTTTTTAATCAGAATGTATCTGTTTATCAACCCCAAAAAATTGATGACGTCATCCCAAAATTTTACCATTAAATCCTATCTAAAATTGCAAAATGTGATCACTCTATACTTGTAATGTATCATTGCATTCATATTGTTAAGATTTGTTTATACAGGATGACTAAAAAAATTAATGAATCAGTCAAATTATTTTACTGAAGAAATCAATACTTTGAAATTTTGCAGACGTGTTGAAGTTATTGTGGGCCTGGTAAATTGTTAATCAAAACATATCTGTTTATTTTAAGAATGTGAAACCTCCTTTTTTACTCCACAGAGGTTATCACGAAAAAGTAAAATTAAGCAAAATCAAATTTTATCATTTTTCAGAGAAACAATATTTGTTGGACTGTACTTCAGAAGCGAGGGAAGTTCTGTGGAAATAACTTTCGACCAATTTTTGTCAAATAGAATGCCCCATACATTTTACATATTGTGATTGACCTCTTTTTAGTCTTTATAATCACAGCTTAATTTCGAAGTTCCGTTACCACGTTAGTCCAAAATGATCTTGAATTTTAAAATTTTTAAAATCGGTGTTACAATATTTTGTGGAGACATAAATAAATCTATATAGGCGCTTCGTTTTCGTATACATTGTATAATTTTCATATTTCAGTTTTTTCAAATAGATGACTCTGTGTTTTATTATTGTATCTTACTGTTTTTTATTCTTTTCTTTTTTGATAAGTAATTTCTATATTTAAATTTGATAGTTACACTGTGTATATAAAAATTTGATTTAATTAGAAATGCCATAACAAATATCTTGCAAGTTCTTACAAATAATATTATTGTGATTTTTTTCATGAACCCTTACATTGGTAAAAAATAAGAAAATTGGCAACGTCACATCGGTATTTCATAAATAAACTATTTCTATGAAGCCTAAGAAGAGGCTAGTAAGAATATGTAAAAATATAAGGATGCTTTGTTTATAAAAACTTGTGTGATATGTTTTAAAAACAAAACACTCTGTATAATCGAAAATAGGTAATTTTAGTGTATTGTACTCAAGCAGCTTTAGTCTTTGACTTTTTTCTATCTCTAATAATTAGTGAGGTAAGGAGAACCGCACGCCTAATAACTCACTTCATATATGTCCCTGCTAAAAGTTGATGACGTCATTACAAAGTTTTATTATTAAAAACTCACTTGGGCTTCTCTACTTATATTTCAACAGTTTACATTAAATTTATCTTTATTTTAACTTACAGGGCTTATAATAGTTACAAAAATAATTGCAAAATCAAATTTTATAGTTACTTGTTTAAAAAAACTGGATTGTCTGACTGTACTTCAGGGGCGAGGGAGGTTCTTTCTAAATAACTTTAGACCATTTTTACTTCCTCACCGTAAGCTAAGGAAGTAACTATACTTTCTACTACTCTTACTGAATAGGGTTCATCCGACGAATCGCTTTTTTCTCGACGTTTCATGAAGCCTAAACGACGAAAAAAGCGACCTTCCGTTTCATTCTGTCTGTCTAGCGTCTCTGTCGATTTTTATAATACACGTAATCTCCGAAACTACTTGACCGATTATAATCGGTCAAGTAGTTTCGGAGATACATATTTATTATTGTCAAATATGTATAGTAATGTTAGTATTAGCATTACACTGCATCTATCCAAATTGATATACGTG